AACTGATGATGGTGGAAAACACCGAAACGTTTTTTTAAATTGATAAATGAACAATAAATAAATGACTGAAGAACCCAGGATTTGATTTTAATTATATATATATTGTAAATCATATATTGTCGTCTAAAAGCATAGAAGTTAGCAGCTATCCTCCTAACCCCAGACTTTATGCCACATAAGTAAGTTTTAATGCATGAAGTAAATCTTACTAAATTACGATGAAATGCGTTTAAAGTACGTGACTTGAAAGCCCTCTCCAACACGCCCTCATTTACTTAGAGCAATCATTACTAGGATACTTTAAGTCCTGCGCTAAAAAACCACGATCGCAAATTTTTTGGGAAATCATTAAGACGGCATAAATTCAATTTAATGACCGCAAGCTGTTACAACCACATTGCCGGTTTTGGATCCGATTACAGCGTGTTTTTTATTAGTGCCTTTAATAAATTTCCTAATTGGTTTCTCAATTATACCGAATTGCCCACAAGAAAATCGAATTTAATTTTAGACGCACAAAAAATTTTCCTTGCAAATCCTGTTGAAAGCTATATTGAGAATTGCAATTACGGTTTGAAAATGGTGACATACATCTAGAAGTTCGATCGTTGATTTGCCTAATAAGATCGTTACAGGTTTACAGTTGCAATTACGCAAAAAAAAACTGCGCCTCGTTTCATGCATATTAATATCTTCCTTCGGGAACTACCAACCGTTGAAGTTTACGGGGTCGCTCAAACTTTCTATATCAATCCTAATGTAAATCAGTAACGGCCGCAGCATTCTGGATACGACTCCGCTTTTCCAGTTATAAATTTAGAAAACTGTCATATGATAGTTTACATAAACAGTTGGTACAGGGGCACGTTTTAATATGAAGTTTAGGTCGTTTATGGCAACAGAACTGCTTTCTTACATCCAGATAAGCATAAGAATTGGAATCAGTTTGTTTCTGACATGAATATGGGAAAGTTTTGGTTGATGCTCTCATATTCTGCCAGCTCCCAAGCGTATTAAACATCCTGAAATAAACTTTAATCCTGTCACAACGCATTCGTTGTTAAACGTTTACGATAATCCTCTTTTCCCAAATCTCTTCTTGCATTCACTACGTGTGACAATGATTTTATCAAGTTTATGTGTAACGGTATATGGCCACATATTACGTATTCAAACTATAGGTTTTTTTTTAATCCGAGAACGTGTTCTATTTGTGCCTTTAAGGCAGCTATTTGAAGAAATTGTTTCGACTTCTGGTTCCGTTCTGAAAGGAAAGTTTTTAATTTACTTGTGCTAAAAAAGGGTAGAGCTTCAATGGCAAGTCTTGAAATGAGCCACTTTACATTCCAAGACTTCCCATCAAAAGCAATATTGTTATAAAATCCACAGGTTTTCATAGGGAAACCCCGTTTCATGAAATAATAATTTTAATTAATTCAGTCGCAAGCTTGAACGTGATTCTTTGGTGTAAACGGTGGGCCTTAATTAAGTTAAAACATTTTTTAAAAGCCTCTCTAACTAGAAAACACGCCTTCTACATTGACTTTTAAGCGTAGAAGAAAGTTAATTAACAATACGAAAGATATTCAAAACCCTAATTCACAGTAGGGGTTTTGGTAAGAATCAATTATCTTTTGGCCACCAAACCGCCCAGATTTGACATTGGGGACTTTTTGTGAGCTCTGGTAAATACTCATCTATTCAATGTATTATATTCAGTCAATTAGCTCAACTCACGTACCTAAATGCCATCCGTTTTCGCCTGTCGAACCATCTCTTTTGTTCATCATCTTCGTTTTCCTCATCGACGCCGAAAAAGTTAGCAGTCTCTTTCTTTATGTAGTTCTTAATAATTTCTTTTCTACTCACTGATCGATTTAATACAGGCCTGCAACAAAACAATAAGTGTAGTATTATCTAGACTTCAGGGTAAATTAAACTATTTTCTACTTTATATACAGGGTGAGTCAGTTTAGACTAGCAGAACTCTGAAATTCGATCAATGTCAAAGTATGTTTCGCTTTTGATATTCTGGGTGTCAAAGTCTTGAATCTTTCGTAAGCTTTTCCATATAGTCTTTTTTAATGACAAAAATTTTTGATGCAAATACCCAACAAGAACCTAGATAAGGATTTAATGAAAAACATATTTTTATCAAAATTGAAAAAAATGAAATCTGATCTAAATTTACACTTAATTTCTCTAAAGTTTGCAAAAATATTTTTTTCCTTATTTCTTCAAGATAATACTTAAAATGATTCGTCGACAAGGTAGGAACTAGGGTCATGCGGGTTATGACCCTGACATGAAAGCTGGTGGATCCTGGCTGACCTGCTGTATGATATTTAAATTTCACTTTGGCAAATTATTGCACCTAAGTGTCCAATATGCAAATTTCACTTTCCGGGTGAAAACTACTCGAATTTCCTCACTCATGTTGTTATGACTGAAGCGAATGTTCAATTCTCTATCCAACGATGCCAAAACGAATTCTGTGGCTTCAATGGGCTTGAGAAACTTCGAAAAAAGGAGCGTCATGTCAAAAAAAACACAAATCTAAAACATCTTGAAATCAACAATTTGTGAGAGAACTACCAACATTTTCTTATCGATGGTTTACTTTACTAAAAAGGCCATTTAGTTCTTTCTTTTACATCATAAAAATGAGCGTTCTTGCTCATTTTGCATCCCAGAAATGAATAAAACCGGGATGGAAAACATTATGTGTCATGTTAAAATTACATAATCTTGCACATAAGTGTCATATATATTATTTGATATATATATTATAATATATTACATATATTGTGATATTCAAATTTCGCTTTCGGAGTGAAAACTGCTCGAATTTCCTCACTTATGTTGCTACGACCGAATGGAATTTTCATTTCTCTATACAACGTTGCCAATACGATTTCAGTGGCTCTAATGAGGCTTGAGAAGCTTCGACAAAAGCAGCGTTATATTTATGTTGATTTTGCAACTAAAAAAAAAACACGCAAATCTCAAACTTTTTGAAATCAAGGATTTTCTGATAAAACTACTATTTCCTTATCTCACTTTATAAAAAGGTGATTTAGTTCTCTCTGGAATGAGGTAAAAATGAGCGTTCTTGCTCATTTTGTTTCCGAGAAATGAGGAAAAACGAGACGGAAAACTCAAATTTCCTCACTTATGTTGTTATGACTGAATCGAATTTTCACAGCATTTTTGGCATTGGGGTCATGACCTTCCCCTGACTTGAAAGTTGGATCCGCCCCTGTTCGACAATGTCCCGAGCTGCGAGAAAAATGGAGTCGAAGTCAAACGAAAAATTCGAAATGTTTGCAAACACGGCGAGTGAGTGAAACATCACCAACATTTCTGAATGGAAAAACTGAACTTGATCTATCGGAAAATATCACCCTGTTCGTTCTCAAATCCTTTACATTAGATCGAAATAAGGCAATCTGAAGCAAAATGTTTTATAATTCTTAGCGGGGAATTGCACAAGTGCATAAATATAACCATAGCATAGAAGTTTGTTCTCTAAATCCTGCGTGAACTTCTCTACAATTACGACGGAAATATTCATAAAAATCATAGGGTTGTGTGGGAGAGACTAAAACTCTGAAGACAGTGACACCAGATATACAATAAGCTGGTTCACCCTGTATGATTTAATCACATACTCATCAACCACTGTTGCTTACCGGTTAGGAACTCGTTCGCTCTGGCTATAATTAACCTTCCTAGCACCTCCAACTCTATCTGTTCCTTCCGCTTGACCGACACCACTTGGCCCACCCCGAATACCTGGATCTGCTGGTGTAGCCGGCATAGAAGCGGCTCTTTGCACGGAAATGGCTGCTCTGTTTGAAGCAGCTGGTACGAGCTGCACCCCAACCTGATTCATTTGACTAGCTGATGCTGTATGCTGCAGTGTATTCTGCATCACTGGTATATTGGCAGCAGTGAGCAAACTGCCATGAGCTGAGGCTTGGAAGTTGGACGGAGTGCCCGGATGGGACTGACCAACATTTTGGATATTCTGGACGCTGGAAGCAGCACTTTGTCGGAGCCTTGGAGGTGTGCTTTCTCGTCGATCATCGCTCATTGAACTCGAACTGAGTCCGGATTGTTCGGTGCCCGAGCTCGAAAGTCCAGCGGTTGGGGTTAGAGATCGTTGATTAGTCGGTGTTAAGCTGCGATTGGTTTGCACATGACGTGGAGTCAACTGGGCAGCGCTTGGGGGCTGATCTGCAACCAGCGGATGGTTTGGTTGCATTGGGCTTTGATAGGCTGGAAGTGGGTTGCTCGGTGTGGAGGATCGCCTGAAACGAAAAATCCTGTTAAAAATATGAATAAACTTTTATATGGTATAGTTTTTCTCAAGAGAACTATTCATAATAGTTACCTCCGATTCACAGGTCATTACGTAACGTAAATTACAGGTGCTAGTCAAATGCAGCGTTGCCCAATTTACGATTCAGTTTTTCCTGACTATCTCACTTTTTAGAAAGAATGATTATCAATCTCAAATGTTTTCGTTCTCCTTAAATACCACCAGACAACTCGGTATATAAAAAATAACCCAGATAAATAACGGGTCCCAAAACGAATTAACTGCAATTCCGAAAGGTTGATTTTGGCATTTGCTGGGTAAGGTAACAAATAAATATCCGTAGTTTGAAAAACTAGACCACAAAATCTTTTAAGCTCTGTTTCCACTTATGGGATTTAATCCCAACGTTTGCAACTTTGGGAAAAACGTAGGCGATTTATTTTTCACGATCAAACCCTAAGGGATTGTGGCCAAACGAATTGTTCACAAGTATCTTAATTAAACACGTTACAGAGACCGGAACAAAAGAGAATATTTCTCAAAATTATTATCCTGTTTGCAAAAACCTGTATGAAAGCAAACCTATGATTAGGTTTGAACGCTCACGCAAATTTTCCTTTGACACTACCAGAATGAGTGCCCGTTTTTCTTGACTTTCTCTAATCTCGAAGCTTCAAAAGCATGTTTGTGGCGAATGTTTGAAACTTCTAAGTCATAATAGTAGAAAAAATATTTTTTGTTATACAAAAGGACTTTCGATCTACATCAGTCTTTCTGTCCTGAGTCCCGATGTTTTATGTGGAAAGTTTATAAATTCAGATAAAAAATTCAAAATGATGTATATAATTTATATTTGGAAATGTTCCAATAGGGTTGAGGTTGGGAAGAGGAAATGCGCTTGTCTGGACACTAATATAACACACAATTTTAATTTATCTACTACTTGGCGTCAATTGACTGGCTCTGACAGGTTTGACTACGCCAAAAAGTGTCGTTAAAAAACCGAACATGCGGTGGAATTAAAATATTTAATTTCTTATAGTTTTTATAAACTTTTGACTTTGTATTTTTAGCTTTATAAAACGGGTTTTCACTAAAAATTCAAACTAAAAGCAGTAGAAACTTGAAATTTGCACCATATTTACGCGAAAGTTGACTAATGATGAGGAAGGCTTCATGAAAATCACCCAGAATCCTGATTTTTGACAGCTTTGTAAACATCAAGATCAAAATGTAAGTTTCTTCAACTGCGTCTAATCTGTTAAAAATTCGGATCTTCCACAGTAAGACAAGTAGCAACTTGATATTTACACCATGCTTAGAGGATGTGTGATTCTAAAAGTCCGGGAAGTTTCGTGAAAATCGCGCTGAATTCTGATTTTTTGCAGCTTCGTAAATATCGGTCTCAAATTGTTTTACTCAACTGCGCGAGTTAATGAATTTTTAAAAAAATTGTAAAAAAACTTATTTTTAGACAAAATCTGATATAAATAAGTCCAGAAAATGACTTCGTTTTGATGTTAAGTTTTATTTATTTTTTCTAGCAATTATTATAAATATTTAAACATGGCTATAAAATATAATGCATATCTGCTACAGAGTGCCAAAGCGAATTTTCCAAATGTGTTGCTTGCTGTTATGTTTCAAACATCAATTATGTTCGGAAAGCTTTGTAAACAAATTTCAAAAAGCATTGTTTCTGTTTTTGCCACAAAATTATTTAATTAACAACAAGAAATAAACTTAATTTTCCTCAAACTTAGCTACTTTATATAAATTAATCCTTCACTTCTAGTTCTCACGACACCAAAACTAGTCCAGTACATTTCATTCTTTTATACGAATCTTCTTTTCCAATGTATCGACTTAAAAATAAGCACTATAATGTGCCTTAAAAATTTACAAACAAACTATTCACAAACTGATGAAAATACAAAAAATGCAAATATTAATACAAAAACTATCACGCAGACACAAAATCAACAGATTCCAGTCAAATCTATGCAAAAAATATAATTATACCAAATGGAGTAAAAGACGAAACAAAAACCTTTTGTTTTCCGTGGACATTCGCAAATTATTTAAATCTCCGCTTCATTATATACAAACTGCCCTACCGTTTTAAAATTCCTAGTGCGCCCGAGCTCATTAGTGCACAGAGGGATAAAAAAGGAAATTAGCTAAACTATCCAGAACTAAAGGAAACTTTCAAACAACTTCCACTCGTATTTATTTAGTAATTAAAAGCAGATGCCAGTTCTCGAGAGGCGCGTTCTTCTGCGCGCATGTTTTGAATGTTAAAAACTAAAATTTATTCCAGAACTTTTTATAATGATAGTATTTTTATGGTAACAGACATTAACTTTGTGCATGCTCACAAATGGCCGTTAAGTGTCTCATGAGCCTCTGAGGCCGTTTCCTCAAAAGCTTCAAAAGCCTCAAATCCTCACTAAACTTAGCTAATTGAGGCTTTTAAAAGTTCCAGATCTCAACTGGTAGAGCAAAAATAACTCTCAGGCGGATTATATTAAAGTGCACTTTATCAATCTTCTATACGCTCGTTTAATAAAACCGATGTTCTTTTGGCCATGCAAACAATTATCTTCTGAAAACAACTGACTTGAATACCACCTGAAAACATATCTCCCTTGAGCTCAATAACTCTTACGCATAAAAAAACCTTTTTCCCTTGACATATTCCTTTAGAGTGACTGAAAGTACTTTTTTATGCTGTCTGAGTGGAACACAAAGGGATGTTTTGAATGCAGGCCCGAACAAGCTGGTTAAATAAATAATCAACTTGGAAAAAACTGGAAAATGGTCGATGGCCGGCCAAGTAATTTAAACCAATTTTTTATTCAAATGTTTTTGTTGAAAAAAATCCATATTTGATATATAAAAACTAATCAGTCAGAGTGCTTGGAAAGATTTCAGTGTGTTAACAAGGTTTCCTTTTTTTCCAGTTTTATCTTGAATATTAAGTAGATTCAATTGATATTTTCATGCGGTTTTTAATTAATTTTTTGAATAAAAAGCTTTGTTGTTGATGGATTTCCGAATGACTCAACTTAAAACAGCTGGCAATATTTCCAATGGATGCAAAATTTATTTATTGATAAAAAAAATGTTCTGCATAACACGAATTCAAACAAAGAAAAATAAGAAAGTTCAAAAATATTTTGACACAAATCGCATTATTGAAAAATTGATTCTTATTTTTATTTCTTCGCATTGCACAAAACGCTTAAAATTCGGATCTTTGAGCCCTCAATTGAAACGTAGTTTCTAGAAGAAACAACTGATATTTTAAAATCTCTTGAAGACAAAATTGATTGAGAGTTTCAGATGGATTTTATGGATTTAAAGGGTTTTATTTCTCCAGAATGGCTCGAATGAATCGTCTGCCAGAAGAATCTATTTGAAATATAGACCAATAATTGCAATGTCAAATCTTCAAAGAGCTCAACCTCCCTTAGCCAAATCACCCCTAAAAGTACGATTTTTTGTTCTCTTGAATTCAAGTTGCCGAATACTCATTAGTGGTAACTAGATAAGGCTCTGTTTGTTTGTTTGCACTGATGCTAAAAGTGATCAATTATTTTCGACCGCAAAACATAAACTTCTGATTTTACGATGCAAAATTAGAGTTCGAGCCAATCGAGGGTGGGAATCGGTTGAGGAAACGGATCTGACCGACCGGAAGGCGGAAGTCGACCGTCATTCGTCAAAGATGAGGAAGATTTCCCATGATTTACTTTATGAGCCTGTATGGACTATGTCCGGATTTAGTTCGTGGTAATTGCCCTCTCCGGGATAAATATAAAAGGATTCCGATGTTATTGGAGAATTGATGGAATAAAACCCGTTTTACTCTGTTTATTTATTTCCTGCAATTTAGTTGAAAAATATTTTCCTATGCCCGTCGATCTAAAATTACAGGAATTTTATTCGATGCGAATTACCCGGGTAATGATAATATCCAGAATGATTAATTTACTGAAACAGTAGATTTGAGTGGGGTTTTGCGAAAAATGAGGAACTTGCCTTCATTAAAATTGATGACTGTGGTGGAATTGGGCGGGTTTTATGCAAAAGAGACTTTACTCAACTTGATAAGAAACTTTTAACTCGTTTAACTTGATGTGCTCTCCGCTAGACAACGTTAAAAACTGATGGTTTATTTGACGTTAATTTGAATTAATCTTAATTTTGAGCGAGCGTTTTTGAGGGAAAGTCTGAAATGTGTTTATTAGCAGAATATGTTAATGAACATTTCAATATAAACATAAACCTAACTATGGATAAACAAATATTTAGATATTCAGCTAATGAAGTTTAACAAACAGTAAAACGATCAAAGAAGAAAATTGTATTTACTTCTGGAAAAGTTAAAAGATACACTTTCACTCTCGCACATGATGCATGCTGTAGAAACTTTTATGTTAGAAATTCGAATTTATTTTAAGCACTTAGGGGTATTTATGCAGATTAAACTGTTTTGAAATAATTTATTGTGAGGGTATATAACTTCAAAATAATGTTAATCGTTTAATAAAAACTGACTTCCATGATGGTGGAATTCTCTCACTTTATCCCGAAAAAAAAAACAGTCTATTTCCAGCGCCATCGACCGAATATTTTGCGATCACTGACCTTTAAACAGGACAGTAAAAGGGTGTTGAAAGAGCGTCCCTGTGGATAAAAGGGCCCAATGATGTATATGTATGACCGGACAAGAAAAACGAAAAACGGGACATACGAGTGGCAGCAGCTCTGCACATCATGCAAACATGTCACTGAGCTGGAAGTGAGTTTAACGGTATTTATTGCATATTTATCCACATTGCGAATGTGTTCCAGTTGGTTACTCATCAATGTCAGTTTTATCAAAACCATAAACTATCTCTAACTGTTGAAATTAAGTCAGTTATGGAGGCCCACTGGTATGAGGATAAACACTTATGTATTTAAATCTACAATACTTTAAAT